TTGGGGTAAAATAGTCTTATCGTAAAAGATTTTATTAAAATATTAATCTTAAGTGGCAAGTGAGGGTGGTATGACTAATAATACGAAAGGGACTAGATCCAGCATAATATAAGTAAAAGAATTGGGGGTTTTCACTAATTATCCCTAAATTATATGATCAAAACATATTCGATTTGGGTAAATAGGCCTAACCAGATCATGGGTAAATAGGCCTAACCAGACCAAACTTAAGATAACTTATTCAAAAGCGGTTATTGCTTACGCCAAACTACCGAATTTTCTTAAGCAGTTGTTAAACATACTCAAGCACTCGTTCATCCCATTTTCCAGCAGAAAATTCCATTAAAGATGCTAACATGTATTGATAAATTATATATATCCATGTATTATATAAAAAAAATATGAAATCAACAAATCGAGCAACAATATCATAACAAATTCGCTTCAATGTTTTTTAACAACGAATTCTACTATTCATTGTATAAGTTTGAAGTACTCACATCTTTGCATCTAACAATTCAAGGGTTGAAGTAGAGAGAGAGAGAGAGAGAGAGAGAGAGAGAGAGAGAGAGAGAGAGAGAGAGAGAGAGAGAGAGAGAGACTCACCTTTGAGTTCATCGGCGATGGCAGAGATGTAATTTAGAAAAGTCGACGGGGCATTAGAGCAATTGAGATCCTTAGCACGGAATGCGGCAGCATCGGGAAATCTGAGACGCCGAAGAGCAGAGAACTTGAGAGTTTCCGGCAGTATTACGTCTTACAGAGAGAGCGATGCTCTGGTTTCAGCAAGCTCCAGATGCGGTGATCACAGAGCCGGTGGCTGAGAAAAACTACGCAATACATGTTACCTAAATGAAGTGAAAGAAACTACAAATATCCTTAAATAAAATTTCAATAATTAACTATACAAATTGCTGTCGTCCCTGCCGCCGCCGAGCATATTACGATCGAGTTCCTCGACGGAGCCCCCGCGTGGACTGGTGGGAAGATGAATTAATTCATTGTGCGTCAATCCCTTCTTCTGAGCCGCCGGTTTGGGGGAGATGTATGCCGAGAATTCCTGAATTGATTGGTGGATCGTGGATTAGGGGTGGTGGAGGAGCAAACAATAGAGAGAGAAGTCCATAATTTTTTTGTGAGAAATTTGAAGTGTTGGAAATAAGAAATATGGAAAGACACCATTAAATGATCAGGGAAAAAATTTAGGGAATATTTTTTTCTAAGATGAATCTGGCCTTGTGACGAAATTAAAATTGTCGCCTAAAATAATCACGGTGACAAAATTGGTTTTGTCATAAGAAAACAATTCTCATCGCAGCACAGTGTCGGTGAATTGTTCAAAAAATCACGTACATTTTTTTATGACAATTTCATATTTTTTATGACGATTTCATAGTATTGTCATCTAAAATAAAATTTATGTGACAGAGTAAATTTTCATCGCATAAAATGTTCAATTTTTGTGATGACTTTGAATTTCGTCATAAAATGCACTTACTAGTGTGACGAAATTATTTTTTGTCACACGAAATTGTCACATAAAATACTTTTTTTTTTGTAGTGTTTCTACATTTTGAAGCAAGATGATCATGTATTTTTTTGCTTGTATATATCAGATTGTGGTGCATCAGAAACTGTATTTTTGCACAAAATGAGTACAAACTAGAGAACATTCCACATAATCTAGATGATTATGTTGAATGTGAGACCATAAGGGTGTACGTCTAATTAGAATATTCATATTTGAGTCGTAAATATAATTATCCAAACATTAAGGGTTTTTTCGTAATTTGACCATACCTTAGGGGTGGTTGTAATTCACCCTACTAATTAATATGATTGGAGTTTCAGATTTTGTCCAATATATTGAGCGATTATTTTAATAAAATTAAGGGCAAATGGCAAATAGACCCATGACAAGGGCACTTAATTAAAAGAGGAACATCCAACTTTTTTGTCTTTCAGATTAATCCAGCTCATTTAAACTTATTTGCCAATAAAGAAAATCCTTTCATATATACCAAAATTACCCCCAATTCATTGAATCCCAAATTAACTCCAATTTCATGATTTACACCACAATTTAGCTCAATTTCATCAATTAACCAATTTTAACCCTAATTTCAATTTTGACCCACCACCATCAGAGACCGCCGGTCAGCCGTTGTTGATCGCCGGAGACCGGGTCTCTGGCGTTAACTTTTTTTTTTTTTTTTTTTGAAAACTTTTTTTTAAAATTTTTTTTCTGGTAGATCAACAGTTGTAAACCGCCGGGTCTTCGACGTTGACTTTTTTTTTTTTATAATTTTGTTTTTTCTTAAAAAAAATATTTTAATTAATATTACTGTCTTGGCTACTAAATTACTGTCTCCAACAGTTATTTAACTGTCGGAGACAGTAATTTTACTGTTAATTGACTTTTTTTTTCTTCAAAAATATTTTAATTAATATTACTATCTTTGCTGCTAAATTACTGTCTCCAGCAGTTATTTAACTGTCGGAGACAGTAATTTAACTGTTAATTGACTTTTTTTTTCTTAAAAAAAATATTTTTAATTAATATTACTGTCTTGGCTGCTTAATAACTGTCTCCAACAGTTATTTAACTGTCAGAGACAGTAATTTAACTGTTAATTGACTTTTTTGTTTTTCGTTTTGAAATATTTTTTCTTAAAAAAATTATTTTAATTAATATTACTGTCTTGGCTGCTAAATCTCCAACGGTAATTTAACTGTCTCAGACAGTAATATAAATAATATTACTGTTCAGGAAAATAATATTCAAAATATTACTGTCCCAAACAGTAATATTACTGTCTGAGACAGTAATTTAGTAGCCAAGATAGTAATATTAATTAAAGTATTTTTTTCTAAGAAAAAAAATTGAAAAAAAAGAGAAAAAAAAGTCAAAGCCGGAATCTGGCCGGAATAATAAAATTTCAGATAAAAAAATATTTTTTCAAAAAATTAATAGTTTGGCAGTTTATGTGATATATTTGTTTAAATCTGGGGTCAATGTGTAATATTAAGGAAGTTATAGCATAATATATAGAATTGATAAAAATTATATTATGGAGGGTATTTTAGACTAAAAATATGGGAATGGATTTATTTGTAAGACTGTTTTTTTGTGGACCAATGCACATTTAAATCCCATGTGATGGGTCTGTTTGACATTCGCCGTAACATTAAATATGAATTATTTGTTAAAAAAAATATCTATCAATCGGTTACTATCAGACCTAAGGAGATCATACTGAGTATATTCAATAGGGGAAAATACTAAAAAGCCACCCAATTATCTGATTATCATATTGGATGACATCCTTTTGAAGTGTTAGAAAAATGGTTTTTTTCTATGATCATTAACCTAGCAAAAGGAATTATAATTCGTAGTAAAAAAAATTTTGGTACTTATTCACCCGTACCATGTACGGGTGTGACAAAAACTGTATTACGGTATATGGTCGTAGCAAATATTTTTTTGTTACGGTTAATCCAAACATTTGTTACGATTTTAAGATTGTCCCGTAGTAAAAGGTACCTTTTACTACAGCTTTTTATGATAAAAAAAAAAAAAAAAAAACTAAAAAATCTTAGTAAAACTCATTTTTCTACTAGTGATTATAAGTTTTCCACTCATCAACGGTGCACATTATCTTCAACTCCATAGAGTGTCCACCAAGACTTTTAATAGGAATAAATATTGTTGTAAATCTTGTAATTCTTGGTCTTTAACAACTCCTTTTTTAATGATGACTTCATAAGATTCACTATTTTATCACTCTTGTAAATAAAACTTGTAGTTTTCTTTGTCTTTCTATGCATTTTATTTATTTATTTTGAATATCTTACTGATATCTTCCAAATTCTAATAATGTGCAGGGCAAGGAGACCAAAATATATGTGGTCTTTCCAACATCAATTTTGTTCCAACAACTTTGTTCGAAACTTCATTATCTGTAACAACTTGTACAATATATATATATATATATATATATATATATATATATATATATATATATATATATATATATATATATATATATATATATATATATATATATATATATATATATATATATATATATATATATATATATAGAGATAAAAAAAAATCTGCATTCTTTATTTTATTAGTACAATCCACAAATGCATGATATATCATTGATCGATCACAACATATCATAAAATTGATGATATGATTCTTATTTTAGTACTCCAACCATCTCACATGATTGTACAACCATAGTTTATGTTAAAGTGGATATGTACCTTTCAATTCAGAAACTTGCTCACCTAGATATGTACTACCAATTTGACGGCCAAAGGGACTGTGCTTAATTCCTGGCCCTCGTGCCCTAGAATTAAATAAAATTAATTAATTAACATATTTTATAAGTATAACAATTTACTAGGATATAAAAGTTTATATACTGTCATCATATCGCCTACGCTCCTCTTCATAGAAAGCTAGCTTTCGACTTTCCCTCATCGTATTCCATAATTGCTTCTTCTCAATTTCTGATAAATGTTCTTTGTTTGCGTATTGGAAACATTGTTCATCTGGAAAGAGGTCTCTCTCAAGGTGACCCTCTTTCCCCATATGTAATATATAATTAAATATGATACGTGTCAGCAGAAGACCCATCCGATGTTTATCATCGGGTGTAGGGTCGAAGAAGCCGAGGAGATGGGTGGGATATGTGCGTACGATAAGCTTCTTATGATAAATCTCACGAGGGAATTCTAATTAATATAATTATGTTCTTAAAAGAGATTAAATTCTGAGCGGATCAGCCGCTATTATAATTAGGGTTAGAGGGATTATATACGGGTTATGCACGTGTCAATCATCCTATAGCATCCGACTGTCCTATTAAAACAAACCATGCGGTCTAAATTTGCACCATTCTTAAAATGATATCAAAATGGTAATTTCACTTTCATAGGAGAGGGCATTTTTATTTTACTCTTTATGTGTATCAATTGAAAATTATAGGTGTTGTAACAATAAGATTTTGTCTCTTCAAAAGTTCAAATGGTCATAAAAAATTTCCCAACATGACATAGGAAATTTAGTCACTAATGCAATAAATTAGTGAGTTCATAGAAAAATTTGTAAGAAAATCATTTAGAACACAAACAATCTATAGTATAATTCCCATTTATCCAAAGAAAATAATTTAAAATGGGAATTTTACCCAATCAAAATATAAACAAAACAATTCTCAATTGAAGTTTACTGCACTAACATATATCAAAGATCACCAATTCTTGTTCATCTCAATTTCCTTGTCACTCGTTTGGGTTCGCTGATAAACAAATTTTCCAGATACGGGATTCGATAATAACCCATTCGAATAATATAATTATTACCCGCGTCGAGTTCAGTCTCATCTCCTCCTGGATAATACCAATTAATAGTATCAACATTCCGTCGCGTAGAAAGTGGCGGGAAACCCTCAAACTCCCGCCAAGATTTTTCTTCATGTTTCCCGCCAACAACTTTGATCACCAGACAGCTGTGGTTGATGCACACATACATACAACCTTCCAAACAAGTCAGGAACATGAAGAAATCCGGCTTCGTCGTGTAATTTAGCTCCGGCAAACGGACGAAACTTTCGCGACTCGGGTCGAATCCAACTATTTTAATCCTACCTCGACTTTCTTCCTCTTCTTCTTCTAGGGTTTTGAGAATAAAATATAAATCGCCATTGAGGGACACGCCTTTGCCCGTGATTAGCGGGCCCCACGAAAAGTTGGTTTCTTGCAACGCACTCCAAGTTTCGGTTCTACATTGGTAAACCGCGTAGCGCATGTTATTATCGATAACGATAACCTTGTAATCGTTGATCAACGGGTCGTAGATAATCCCGTAAACCGTTTGGTGAGGGTGATGGTGTATTGGACAAGGGCAGGCGAACTTTACGCGGTACCCGGTGGATAGATTACAGAGCACGTAAATCCCGGCGTCGACTCCGTGGTAGCGCCGCAGAGCTAAGCCGTCCGAATAGCACAACACGGTTGGATCCAATTGAGACTCGATCTTCTTCGGTAGAAATTGATGCTGGTGGGAGACAATTGGCCAGAAATCCGGGCCTTGTTTTTCGAGCCAGAAAAATACGTCTCGTTTGCCGGAACTCATGTTTCGGGATTGCCGGAGATGAACTCCGGCGAATATCTGGTCGTCGGAGATGGTGGCGTACCATGACTTGCAGACTGATTTGAATCTGAAGAGAGTCTTCACCGGCAGCCGAGAGAGGATGTTTTCCATGATGTCATATGGCAGCTCTTTCTTGGCTCCGTCTTCCATGGCGGCGGCGGTGGCGGTGGCGGTGGAATAGAAGAACGGTGATTAATTAGGAAGAAGATTTTCTAGGGTTTTGTTTTTTTGCTGTTAAAAGTTTTTCTTCTATTTTGCTTTATGGAGCATCCTTTTAATTGGCACGAGTCCTAGTTAATCTAGGATTCTAGTTAATCCTATAGTATTTTGATAATTGCACTTTGCATCCTAAAAAATAATTAATAGTATTTTGCACCCTCAAAAGTCAAAATATAATAAATAATGCATAGTACACCCTGATTGAATTTTTAAAGTTGATGAAGGTAATTTAACATTTTTAGTGTATTTGTTTAGGATGCCGAATGTCAAATCAAATTTTTATATTCATTGATTATTTAGAAACTACAAAATGCAAAAATAAAATATACATCTCATCAACATATTTAATATTATATTTTTTATCACAAAAATATATTTTACAAAAAAACCATTCAGCTATTATGTTATCAACTTATTTGAAAATTATATGTTCTTTCAATGATTTCTACCAAATATTTTCACCAATTACAGCAAAAGATCCATCAATCGAATAATTTAGTGAGAAAAGATTTTTTTATTATTAGAAAAAATATTTTTTTTCTTTAATTCAGTTTGATTTATTTTTTTCGCACCTCGCACTCGCTCGAAATTAGCTTGAAAGTAGAAGAAAACGATCTTTTAATTTATTATTTTGCACCGTGGAAATACTAAAACCAAGAAAAAAAAGAGGATGTTTGTCTATTAAGTTTTAAATATTAAATTAAGGGTGCGAGTTCTAATTAAGTTCCACCTCCACGGTTTGATGCACAAATCACAATCCAAAACATAATTAATCTCGTTAAGCTGATCAAAACTTCGTTTGGTTGAGAAGATTAGCCATGTTAACTAAATAATAGGATTTTGTTTGATGTTTGGTACCAATAACTTGCCAGGTCAACCCGCAAATATTATGTTATATATCAATTTATCATGCCTTATGATCATGCCTTCTAGGCATGTTTTTATATTGGATCATCGAAGGTCGAATAATATAATTGAGTTTCAATAGATTATGAATTCCGATCGATCCTCCAATAATTAAGGTGCATCTAGGGGTGGAAATCGGACGGATCGGATCGGATTTGGGTGTTTCGGAAAATTTCCGATTTTTTTCGGAACTCCAAAACGACTTCCGATTCCGATTCCGATTTTTTCGGAATTCAAAAAGTGATTCCGATTCCGATTTTTTCGGAATTTTCGGAAAATCGGAATTTTTCGGAAATATTCATTTTCGGAATTTTCGGAAATTTTCGGAAATTTTTCGGAAAATTTTCGGAAATTTTCGGAATTTTTCAGAATTTTCCCAAAAAAAAAACAAAAAAAAAAAAAAAAAAAAAATGAGCACCGACACAGTAGCAAAACAGAACATCTCACACAAAAACACAAATAAATCAATTGAATGAAGATTAAATTTGAATCAATTAAATTAGATTTATTCTAAAAATACCCGATAGAGAGAGCGGCTTTGCTGGTGGTCGTCGGAGAGCCGGGAGGCCTGGTTGCGATGGTGGTGGTTGGAGAATCGGGAGGCGCAAGTGGTGGTGGTCGTCGGAGAATTGGGAGGCGCTGCTGGTGGTGGTGGTCGTCGGAGAGCCGAGATGCGCTAGTGGTGGTGGTCGTCGGAGAACCGAGAGGCAGTGGTGGTGGTGGTCGTCGGAGAAGGCGCTGGTGGTGGTGGGGGAGAAAGAACGGTCGGATTGCTGAGAGAGAGAGTCGGGAAATTAGGGTTTCGAAGTAATTTTAATAAATGTTGAGTTTTTGACTTTTGTATGTTTTAGAAAATTAAAAAATAATAATAATATATATGTATATATTATTATTATATATATAATACTATTAATTAGTACAGGCGGATAGATATATACATATATTTTATATATTATATATAGTAATAAATATTAATATTATAATTGAAAAAATCGGAAAAAATCGGAAATAATCGGAAATAATCGGAAATAATCGGAATAATTTCGGATCGGAAATCGGAAATTCCGAAATTCTGTAATGTATTTCCGATTCCGATCCGATTTTTTTCGGAATTTTCGGAAATCGGAATTTCGGAATTCGGAATTGAAAAAGTCGTTCCAAAATCGGAATATTTCGGATCGGATTCGGCGGAAATCGGAATTTTCGTTCCAATTTCCACCCCTAGGTGCATCTCAAATTAGGATTCGGATTGTGATTTGTGTTTAATATGGGTTTAAATTCAAGGAATTATCCAATAATTAAGGTGCATCTCAAATTAGGATTTGGATTGTGATTTGTGTTTGATATGGGGTTAGAATTCAAGGAATATAATTATTTCATCCGTTCCTTATTAAGTGTAGTTTTTAGTTTTATACAAGTATTAAAACTATCAATAAATATGTATTAATTTTAGAAAAAATAAATTAGATAGACTAAAATAATCTTAAATATTTAATAATGTGATAAGAGAGAGTTGAATTAATAAATTTAGAAATTAGAATAGAAAGAAAAAAAACATTTTAATGCAGTATTGAAAATTCAATGTAGTATACAACATGGAACAAAATATTTTAAAAAGGAAACCTTTATGGAACGAGTTGATTTATGGATATCTAAAATATCAACATACAAAGACCAAAGTATATTATATATATTGAATAATTTGAATTCGAAATTAAAATTCTGAAAACATGATTGTTTGATTAATTAATAGGGTTTGTCTAGGGTGAGATACCCATGTTCTAAACTTTTATGAGATATGCATTAATCACCATTAATTTTCTAAGATTAAATCTGGACCCTAGGAAAATAACATGGCTTATGTTCTAAAAAATGAAGTACTTTACCAAATTATCCTTCGATTATTTTTTTTATTAAATTAATATAAAATTGATTAACATTGAATTGTCTAATTTACCCCCTACTATATTTTAATTAAATAATTAATTTAAATTCATTGTGACCGAGATTTATTTGATAAATAATCGAAAAAATGCATTCATTAGGAATAGAACTTGTGACCTCTTAATACATTTATCACTCCTAACCATCCAAGCACATTAACTTATTATGATATATTTAACAATAATTGTATAAATACTGTTAATTCAAATATTAATTGCAACATTCATTATTATTAAATGATATTAAATAAATTATTAACAAATTTAATAAAATAAAGTTTTAAAAATATAAAGAATTGCAGTTCAATACGCCAAACATCTATCATTAATTATATAATATTAGAAGTATTAATAAACTCCACCATTTAATGTAAAGAATGCTCAATTAAATATAAAGAATGCTCAATTAAATATAAAAAAATGCATAACTTAATTCAAACTCACTTATATTATTTAATCGATAGTGTGACAAATCCAAATAAAAAATAAAATAATATGTTTGTTTAGAAGAAGAAAAAATTATAACTCATTCCAATTAGTAGTTTTCTTACTTTAAAATAAAATTATATACTACAAATACTATATTGTGAATTTCTTTTAATATTTAATTTCATCAACTAGTAAGATTTGAATCGATGAAGTACAAATCCTTTCAATTAGTAAACATTATTCAGATATTTTAATCGGTTGCTTAACTATTGACATAACATGTTACATAATTGATTTAACTATTTATAAGTAATGTCTAATATCTTTTTAATTCAATTTTGTCATAAAAAATAGTAAATTTAATTCCTAACACATGTAAGAACTTAATCGTAAATCATAATATTTTATCAAAGCGTAATATTTGAACCAATTAAGCTCAAGTGCTTTCAAATCGTAAAAATTATTCAAATATTTGAATCGATTCATTAGCGCGCTCAACTATTGACAAGAACGTCTTAATCAAATTAACTATTATTAATTAAAGTGTAATACATTTTTAATTCAATTTTATCATAAAAAAATAATTCCTAAATTACGCAAGAATCAAATCATAAGATTAATTAAAGCGTATGATTTGAATCAATTAAGCGCAAATCCTTTTAATTTGTAAATATTATTCAAAAATTTGAATCGATTAAGTTCAACCACTGACAAGAACGTATTAATCGAGTTAACTATTTATAATTAAAGTCTACTATCCTTTTAATTCAATTTTAACAACAAAATAATAATTTAATTCGTAAAATCGTAAAAATCATATCGTAAATCGTAAGATTTAATCTAACCATGAACCGATTAAATCTTACGATTTTTACGAATTAAATTTTATTATTTTTTATGATAAAATTCAATAAAAAAAGGTTACTAAACTTTAACTATACACAGATTGATTAATACGCTATTGTAAATTATTGAGTTTAACCGATTCAAATATTTGAATATTGTATACGAATTGAAATGAGTTGAGCTTAATCGATCAAATCTTTGAATATTGTTTTTGAATTGAAAACACATGAGTTTAATTGATTCAAATATTACGATTTAATTAAATCTTCCAATTTACGATTCAATTCAAACTTCAAATTCTTTCGAAACTCATTTTTAAATTACACGAGTTGAACAACATTTCCTTAGATTTTTAAATTATATTATATAAAGATTTGTTAGTATGGAATATTTTTAATATATAATAATAATAATTATATGAGAATTAATAATTTATTTAACATTATTTATATAAGTTTTATAACCATTATAAATTGCAGCTTTGTGATATATATCCGTATTGTTAGTTTATTGTCAATTATGTGTTGTGTCTTAATGGTAAGTATTCTTGTGAGTTTTCAGATGGTCACGAGTATCTCATAAAAGTTTAGAACATGGGATCTCACCCTAGAAAGACCCTAATTAATAATTAAAAAATAAAAAACAAAACTTTTCGTAAAACGTATACCAAACTACCAATTGTAATATCTAAACCAAAATTCCACAACCTATTCTAACAAAAACTCTAATTTAATTGTAGTTCTTCTTCTTCTTCTTTTTCTTGAGGGCATGTTCGCGCTCGCTGAAGAACAGATTCTCGAGATACGGGAGTCGATAGTAACCCGTTGTAGTAGTCGAGTAACCTACCTTGACTACAGTCTCGTACTGCGGCGTCAATTGTAGATCTTCTTCCCCTTGCTTAGGCAAGGGTAGCTCCCCTTCGAACTCCCTCCACGCGTCTTCTACGCCAACTTTGATCCTCTGATGATTATTTTGGTTGATGCACAAACACAAATCGCCTTCCAAAAAAGTCAAGTACATCCATAACAGTGGCGCTTTCGTGTTTTTCGGCCTCGGCAATTTGATCAACTTTTCGGACCTAGGATCGAAACCCACTATTTCTTTATTCCCCGATTTATCCTCGTCTTCTGGCAGCTCCTCGGTTTTGAGAACCCAAAACAGGTTCCCGTTCAACGAAACCCCTTTCCCGTGGATCATTCTACGCCACGGGAACTCGTCTCCCGTTTCTTGCATGGGACTCCAACTCCTGCTCATGCAGTGATAGACCGCGTAGTGCATGCGGTCGATAATGACCACCTTGTAGTCGTTGGTCGACTCGTCGAAGCAGATACCGTAAACCGTCTTGTGGGGGTCGTGTCTCATCGGATAAGGGCAGGTGAACTCGATGTAAGTGCCGATGAGTAGATTGAAGAGCGCGTACCTTTTCTCGTTAACTCTAGGGAACCGGCGGAGGGCTAGCCCGTCGCAGTAGCACAAAACGACCGGATCCAATGTCCGTACGACGTTGAATTTGATCTTCGGCTCTAGAAATTCATCCCGTTTCTTGGTGACGGCTACCTTGTCGTTACTTCTGTAAACCCAGCCCAGGTGGTGTCTGCACCAGTACAGACGCTGGTCTTCGTAGAAGTTTTCGCCCCAAAAGAAGATATCTTGGTTGCCGGAGCTCCGTCGGGATTGCTCGATATGAAGCCCGACGAATCTACGGTCGGAGATTGTCGAGTTCCATGACTTGCATACGGATTTGAATCGGAAGAGCGATTTCACCGGCAGATTAGAGAGGATTTGTTCGACGATGTCGTGCGGAAAAATCTTCTCGATCTCACCCATCGGAACAATTAGAACTAGGGTTTTGTTTGTTTGTTTGTTTTTTTTTTTTTTTTTTTTCTTCTGCTGTGTTGTGTTGAAGTTTGCTTCTTAGGGCTTCCTTTTTATAGGGTTTCCTCCACTCCTACTTAAAGTAGAAAATCCTGCGGTAACTTCTTTCTCAAGTTTTCTTTTGTTTATTTACTATTTTTTACAGGTGAATTTCTTTCTTAGTTTCCTACTTTACTTAATATACGTATCTAATACAAACATAATTCCTTACATGAATGGAACTTTTAATTTTAGTTTTTTTTTTCTTTTCCCAATATATCTACCGATTTTATTCTAATTAAGGATTATTAGCTAAACTACGGGTGAATCGCATTTTGCACCCCATAATTAACCCTAATTGGCGTTTTGTACCCCAATATTTCAAAATTGGCGAAGTCCACCCCCAAATTATATTTCTCATGGCACAATGAACCACACGTCAATTCCTTATGAGATTTTAACCCAAAAATCAATATATCATGATATATTAACCTTTGAAAGGATTTTCATGCTTGATGGATAGTTTTTACTTTTTATTAAAAAAAATATTTGTAAAGCCTTATTTTCACTAATCAATTTTTTTTTTTATCAACTAACCATTTAAAAAAAAAAAGTTAATAATGTCCAACAGTTATCATTCTCTTTTTTTGAATATAAATTAATTTAATGGAAAATTAGGATTTTCTGAAAATTAATGTTGAAAAATTTATATTCATTGATTAATGGGGCTCTTTGATATAACCCATCAATACTTCTTTTAATAGAGAAATGCCCAAATTATTTTGCACCATTTGAGAAAAATCCACTCCAAATTTCAACTACTCATTTTTTCATTTATGTCCCTCCACCTTACACACTATCTCCATGACCCATCAGCCCACTATCTTCATGACCCATCAGCCTACTATCCCATGACCCATCAGCCGTGTCTTTCTCTTTTTTTTTTTCATTTTTATATATTATTATTATTTTATTATTATTATTAATTTATTATTATTATTATTATTTTTTAATTTCCTTTTTTGGTTTTTTAACTTTTTTTCTCTATCAGGTATGTTAATCGACTATGAAGCATATTACATCAACTATGATGAACTATAGTCGATTAAGGAACCGACTACTAAAAATAACAAATCACAACTACAAAAATGCAAACTCAACTATATTTTACAATAACAAACAATATACAAACATTATAATTGATTTATACAATTAGAATCAATAAACAAAAAAAAAAACAAAAAAAAAAAAAAAAAAAATTGGAGTCAATGAAGCATATTAATCGACTATGATGTGAAGCATAGTCGATTAAGAATCTACTACTAAAAATAACAAATCACAACTGCGAAAAAATGCAAAATCAACAATATATTACAAAAATAAAAAATATACAAACATTATAAATGATTTATACAATTCGAATCAATAAAAAAAATCAAAAAAATTAAAAAAATTGGAATCGATCAACCTTAATCGACTGCCAGAGCATAGTTGATTAGCTTAATCGACTATGAACATGTACATAGTCGATTAAGGTTTCAGCCTGCGCAAAATTCTCTACACGCGCCGTCCTTCGCCCGATCCACCAAAAAACTTCTGCTTCCCCATCGCCACCACACCGTCGCACCACACAATTTCAACCAATCCTTAACAAGAATAAAATAAATAAAATAAATAATTCATGAAAAAAAAAAACACAAATGAGCATTTCAATGTCCGAAAAAAAAAACAAGAATGATTCAAAGGTATTTGTCAATCATTGTTGGTCACTCCATAAACAATTTTTGAGCACATGAGAAAACCAACACTAAAAAATAATAAAGGTAAAAAAAAAATACCTTCATCAACAATTTTCGTTGATTCTCCTCCTCCGACGAGTGATTCTTCTTCTTTCTCAACAACTTGTTCCTCTTCTTCTTCCTCCACACGCCGACGGGGTGGGACATGATGTTGAGAAAGAAGAGTGTTTCTCCCCCACACGCCGACGACGAGTGATTCCTCTTCTTTTTTCTCCATCTTCCGGCGGCGGCAGCAACAACGGGGAGAAGATTGGCGGAGAAAAAATAGAAATAAAAAAAAAAAAAAAAAAAAAAAAGAGAGAGAGAGTGAGAAGAAAACAGAGAAGAGAGAAAACAAAGAAGAGAAGAAGAGAAGAGAGAAACACGCTGGAATAAAATTAAAATAAAATCAGGATTTTGAAAAAAATATAATAGACAATTAAGTGTAGTTTTGGAATTATAAAAATATCACATGGGTGAAATATTAGGTAAGGGGATTTTCTCTAATTATTTTTTGGAAGGGGTGTTTCCTTAACTATATTTCCTAGATGAGGGGGTTTTTTCTAATTTTCCCTTGACTAATTCCATGTAAAACATATGAAATAAATCACTAGTTATGTTTTTCTTTGATTTATATACAAGTAAAATAATTAAAATAATTAAGTAATAAAACAAAACATAAAGAAGAACAAATTCTTCAAATGTGTAAAATATCACGATATGTTATTGAGTTGTGACTAAAATATCACAAGAAATTGAGGAGGTTGCATTTTGCCATGAAATATATTTTGTAAGGGTGAACTTTGCCAATTTTTAAATGGTAGGGTGCAAAACGCCAAACAGTGTTCATTCTAGGGTGCAAAACATAATTCACCCCTAAACTACCAATCAATTGTAATTAGTTGTAAGTTTTGTAGGGGTAAAAGTCAGATGGGTCGAATTGGATCGAACTTTTTGGAAAACATTACAAAACCACTTCTAGTTCCAGTTTCAGAAAAAATGGAATCTATGAATACATTCCAATCTCGAAACTTATGGAAATTTTGAAAATCGTGCAACTTTTAAAAAGAATTAGTTAGTTTAGGATTTTTTTGGAAATTTCATAAATTTTGAGAAATTAAGAACACCAACTTTTATAAAACTCAATAGAATGTATTTCACCAATGACTCGTTGTGAATCTAAAAAATTCAAATCATGTATATAATCCAAATCTATCACGGATAATGATAAATACAACTGAAATACTGAAACAAGTTTGAAATAGAGAAATAAAGAACTTATATATGTGAACTATAAAAAAATTGTATAAATTTCAAAATTGTTAAGCTATGTAGCACAAACACAGAAAAGATGGAAATGGACACGGAGAAACTCAATTTTCCAAAAAGAAGGAAACGGGAACGTGGGGATACGCATAATAATAAAAATATAGAGAGGTGCATTCATAATTTCTCAAAAAAAATATTATAATGTTAATATCATTCCACAAATTACATCCGGGGTACATACATTTATTTTAGTATGGAATTAACATCTATAAAAATATTAAAACACTACTAGAAGTAAAAAGAAGGCATAGTGTATTAAGATTTTTTTTAAGTGCGCATATGCAATTCGAAGTTTTTATTTAAAATGAAATTTCGATTTATGTTGTGGAAACGCGTTTCCAATTTTTCATTATTATTAGAAACGTCCCCAAAAAAATTAAATGTTTATAGAAACAGCCCGAAACGTTTCCGACAGGTGTCATAGTTTCGGTTTCTGAAACATTTCCGAAATATGGAAACGCGTGTGCAGGTTGAAGTTTTTGTGCATCATAGCTTATTAAGTTTGGAAGTAGCGGCGTGTATTCAACGTTTAATTAAGTGTTCACTAATATATGTCATACATGATATATATAATATATAAGTAAACTAAAATAATAAACATTCTCTAAAGGAAAGCAAAATAAAAATAAAAATCGGATCGAAAATTCCAAAAATTCTACATAGATTTACAATTTAAAAAAAACGAAAAATTAATGTTGGGGTTTTTTTTTAAATAGTTATTCTAGATTAAAATATTTGCAGGTTGACTCGATCGGCAAGTTATTGAAAATACCAAACATCAAATAAAGTCCAATTATTTAGTTAATCATGACTAATCTCTCCAACCAAACAAGGTATAAGGTTTTATAATTTGGACATTTAGACCTGAACATAATTCAAATTTCAAAAAAATTGTAGATTACCTTATTGCTAGGGGGCAATCGGGCCATGTGAGCTGAGCCTCGGTCGGCTCAAACTCATATACCATCGGACCTCATTATTATATGCTCAAACTCAAATTTCATCAGGCCTCATTCCTATAGGCTCAAACTCAAATTATATTTCTCATGGCACAATGCATCCCACGTCAATTCCTTATGAGATTTTAACCCAAAAATCAATATATCATGATATATTAACCTTTGAAGGGATTTTCATGCTTGATGGTATATTATAGTTTTTATTTTTTATTAAAAAAAATATTTGTAAAGCCTTATTTTCATTCATCCATTTATTTTTTTATCAACAAACCATTTTAATATAAACTTAATAATGTCCAACAGTTCTCATTCTATTTTTTTGAATGTATATTAATTTAATGAAAATTAGAATTTTCTGAAAATTAAAATTGAACTAGAAATTTTATATGCATTGATGAATTCGATGTGAAACATAAGAAATAAATCACCAGTTATGTTTTTCTTTAATTTGTATACAAGTAAAATAATTAAAATAAATATTAAGTAAATAAAACAAAACATAAAGAAGAATGAAAATTCTTCAAATGTGTAAAATATCACGATATGTTATTGAGTTGTGGCTAAAATATCACAAGAAATTGAGGAAGGTGCATTTTGCCATGAGATATATTTCGTAAGGGTGAACTTTGTCAATTTTTTGAATGATAGGATGCAAAACGCCAAACACTATTCATTCTAGGGTGCAAAACATAATTCATCCCTAAACTACCAATCAATTGTAATTAGATGTAAATTTTGTAGGGGTAAAAGTGAGATGGGACGAATTGGATCGAACTTTTTGGAAAACATTGCAAAACCACTTCTAGTTCCAGTTTAAAAAAAAAAAAAAAATCTACCAATACATTCCAATCTCGAACCTTTTGGAAAATTTGAAAATTGCGCAACTTAAAAAAAAAAAGGGGTAATATGCTAGAGGTCCCTAGTTGGAAATATAATTAGATGTGGAAT